TGTTTTCATCCGATGGTCAAACGCCAGAGTTCTTATGTATGTAAGTGAATTACCTTCACGTGATTTTAGACTTTTGGAAAACTATTTAAGAACCTAACATTGTAAAGATATAAAGCGTCTCATGGTGTCGCTGTCGGCTTACAGAACATGGACGCACACCATCCCACCCACAACTAGGCTACTGAACGCAAGTCAGTTGTATTTTTCCAAGACGGTCGGTTAACACCTGGAAGATATTTTGTATGGTCCGCAGTACCCAGAGTTGGATTATAGAGGGTTTTTTGGAGGTATTTTTAATTATAATCTGAATAATACGCTGGACATTAACACGACGACAATTGGTTTTGTGTCAGGATGGGAGACAAAGGATTTTCTGCGCTACGGTCAATCTTCTGCTTTGCTTCCTTTATTGTAGCGCTGCACCTCGTTAACGGAGACCTGAGCTATTCTATTCCAGAAGAGATGAAACGCCAGTCTGTTATTGGGAATGTAGCCAAAGATCTCGGTCTTGATCTGAGGACCTTATCTTCCCGAAAGGCCCGTGTTGATTCTGAGGGGACTCGAAAGCGGAACTGTGATATGAATCTGATTACTGGAGATTTGGTCACATCGGAGAGAATGGACCGAGAAAGCCTTTGTGGCAAGAAACCCTCGTGTGTTGTGAAAGTAGATCTGGTGTTAGAAAACCCCCTGGAGCTTCATCATGTTAGTCTTCATATTCAAGATGTAAATGACAACTCGCCGCAATTTAATGAGAACTTGATTGAAATGGAAATAAGGGAGTCAGCTGAAAAGGGTTACCGCTTCTCTATCGAGAAAGCCCATGACGCAGATATAGGTCAAAATGCTGTTCAGAGGTACAGTTTACAAAAAAATGAAAACTTCATTCTCGCTGTTGACAGTAACAAGGTTGAACTTGTGATAGAGAATAAACTTGATCGTGAAAAGCGAAATGAAATTAATTTGCTCCTCACAGCTTTGGATGGAGGCTCTCCTCAGAAATCAGGTACTGTAGTCATACACGTCACTGTGCTGGATGCTAATGATAACGCCCCAGTGTTTAGCCAGGCCGTCTATAAAGCCAGTCTGCCTGAAAACTCTCCTCCAGATACCATAGTGATTAATGTTAGTGCTACTGACGCAGATGAAGGGGTAAATGGAGATGTGACTTATAATTTTGGCCACGGATCTGATGATGATATAAATGCATTTTCTATCGATCCTAAATCGGGAGAAGTTAAAGTTACTGGAGTGATTGACTTTGAGGAAAGGAGTTCCTTTGAAATCAGTATAAAAGCTAAAGATGGTTTAGGACTAACCTCTTACACCAAAGTTATAATAGATGTTACTGATATGAATGATAATGCTCCAGTAATATACCTGAAATCCCTGACTAACCCCATACCTGAGAACGTGTCACCTGGTGCAGAGGTGGGCATCATTAACGTGCAGGATAGAGACTCTGAGACTAACGGACAGGTCCGCTGCTCCATTCAGCAAAACGTCCCTTTTAAGTTGGTTCCTTCTATTAAAAACTATTATTCTCTGGTGACCACAGGACAACTGGACCGTGAACTAGTGTCTGATTACAACATTACAATCACTGCCACTGACGAGGGCTCTCCCCCTCTGTCCTCCTCTAAAACTGTTCAGTTATCTGTAGCAGACATCAACGACAACCCACCTGTGTTTGAGGAGCAGTCCTCCAGCGCATATGTGACTGAAAACAACAAACCTGGCTCCACTTTATGTTCCGTTACCGCTCGAGACCCCGACTGGAGACAAAACGGTACCGTGATTTATTCTCTGTTACCCGGTGAGGTGAACGGTGCCCCGGTGTCCTCCTATCTGTCTGTTAACGGAGACACGGGGGTGATGCACGCTGTGAGGACTTTTGATTATGAACAGTTCAGGAGTTTTAAAGTGCACGTGATGGCCAGAGACAACGGTTCTCCTCCGCTCAGCAGCAACGTGACCGTCAGTGTGTTCATATCGGATGTGAATGACAACTCTCCTCAGATACTGTACCCCGCCCCGGAGGGCAACTCCTTCATGACCGAGCTGGTCCCCAAAGCTGCACACGGAGGCTCTCTGGTGTCCAAAGTGATCGCGGTGGACGCGGACTCCGGACAGAACGCCTGGCTGTCCTATCATATAGTCAAATCCACTGATCCGGGACTTTTCACTATTGGTCTCCACAGCGGAGAGATCAGGACACAGCGGGACATTTCTGAGTCTGACAGCATGAAACAGAACCTTGTTGTGTCAGTGAAAGATAACGGACAGCCCTCTCTCTCTGCCACCTGCTCCATGTATTTACTTATCTCTGATAACTTGGCTGAGGTGCCAGAACTGAAGGACATTTCTTACGATCAGAAGAACTCCAAACTGACCTCTTATCTGATCATAGCGCTGGTGTCAGTGTCCACCTTTTTCCTCACCTTCATCATCATCATCCTGGGAGTGAGGTTTTGTCGCAGGAGAAAGCCCAGACTGTTGTTTGATGGAGCAGTCACCATCCCCAGCGCTTATCTCCCTCCTAATTACACAGATGTTGACGGAACAGGAACTTTACGCAGCGCTTACAATTATGACGCCTACCTGACAACAGGTTCCAGAACCAGTGACTTTAAGTTTGTTTCATCATACAATGACAACACACTGCCTGCTGACCAGACTCTGAGGAAAAGCCCTTCAGACTTTGCTGAAGTGTTTGGAGACTGTGATTCTTCTCCTGAGGTAGGAGCCTTCCTGTGTCTTTGTCATAGTTGATGTTTTTGTTGCTTACTTGTTGAGCAGATAAGTGTTATGTTATTCACATTTGTGTGCTTCCTGTAAAATAGTTTTGTTGATTTTGAAATACATTTTAAGATAACAGAAGATTTCCAAAATGGTTATTTGCTGCCTTATTATAGTTGTCTTTATTGTCAAATGTATTTGCGTTGATTTAGTTTGGGCGTGATGTTTACTGTCCTTGATCAATTAAAACAGCTGCAGTTCCTACACCTGATTCATCATGGATATGAGGTTCTATAGTCTAAGAACGAGTTAACATTCAGGTATTAGACCTCTCTTAATCACATCACTGCAGTCTGAGAACACTTATCATTTTGCTGATGACAAAGTTTAACAAACAGTGCTCTGGTCTATTGGTGTCTTCCGTCCATTCTGGTTTTGTGACATCTGTCCATGGTGCTGAAACACTCCTCAAGCATATTCACAACTGAAGATATAAGATGTTTTTTAGAGAGGTGCCAGAGCGAAGAGGCTTCCTGGTTCTCGGCTCCAGGGAGCAGTTGTAGATTTACTTTTCCTTAGAAACACTATCAAATGTGATTAGGCTAAATTAAAGATAGTAAGATAACGATCTGAATTGTTATTATTAATATTGTTGTTTAAATTATTTAACGCTATCTTTCCATGGAATCACCTGTATTTATTCAAAAATCTATATTATTATCAACCTTTTCAATTTGGAAGCTATTTTTTTTTTTTTTCAACTCTACTTTTATATTTTTTAGCTAATTGCTTAACCGTTATTATAGTTAGGTTCCTTGTTATTTTCCTGACCTTGTTTCTTATTTTCTATAAAACACCTACAATTGTATCTTAGTTTTATGACACAGTGTTAGGGTAAGTTGCAGTGAGATGCATTTAGGCCTTTTTGTAAGGGCTTAATAGGATGCTTTATTTAATGTCATGATAATAATCAGTCACAGAAGGATTGTTTCTGCTAAATGAATACGTACATTGTTGATACTTTAGGTACATTTTGCTGAAGATAGTTATGTACTTTTACTTGAGTCACATCTAAAATGCTCTCAGATGCAATGCAGTTTCTTAACATCGTGGTATTTTAAACTTGTTATTTAAGAAAAAAGATCGAAGTATCTTCCCCATCACTGTCCATGGTGCTGGACATTGCAGCTCTGTTAACAAGCCCTCCCATGTGATCTTCCTTTTGACTCTCTCCATGGGACTGAAACTACTTATTTTCTCCTTTAGACATCATTTCAAATGTTCCAATGTTTCATTATAATTATGATAATAATTATAATAATACATAATGATATTAATGATTACACTAATCATTATTTTGCATAAGAAGTAATGATTTAATTCGAATCCATAAACCTCAATAATTGATACCTGCAATAAGAACATACTTTATTTGTTACCACATACACGTGATATAAGTGATAGACAAAGTGTTAATTTGTTAGGTAATTCACTTCAGAAACACTTTTTGATATATTCCATATACTATTCTAACATCCCGATAGCAATGAATAAATGAAATGCTTTGACAATAAATATATACAAATATTTCATCTGGAAGCCGTGGCGCTGTAACAACGCTCAGATAACTGGATGGCCTACCTGCCTGTCAGCCTTCCATCTCGTGCACAAACTTATCTCGTGCCCTCATTGGTCATGTGCGCGTTCGTGTGTGTTGGAGGAGGGTCTCTGTAAGGAAGTCTGAAGGAAGGGGCAGATTTTTTTCGGTTGTGTACTTTCAAATTCTAGTTTAGTCGAGCTGGTTTCTCCATTCTTACCTATACCTTTAATTGAATGAGTGGTTTATGTTTAACAATAGTGTTCAACATTTACATTTTTCATGCTTCTATTTGTTTACTTGTTTTTATTTCTAGGTTTTTGTCTATAACTAAATACACAATGCAATCAAATAATACAACTGTGATATTTAATAAGCATCTTTTTAAAAATGATTTTAACTTTGAGCATTGTACATTACGTTGTGACGTTTATGTTTTACATATGGCACACAGTTCGTATTGAAGTTAGGGAAGATGATTTGGGTTTAGACCATAGACTGTATATATAAAGGTTTAGACATGGGGAACAATACTCGCAGATGCAAAGAGTAAAAAGCGCCTGATGGTGCCGCTGTAGGCCAGCACAAAAGGAGCAGAGACATCTCCACCCACTTTAACTGCATTACCATCGGATGAGATTTCTCAGAACAATTCCTTCATTCCCCGATTAGTTTGCATCGCGTTTGCATTTGTAAAATGTTGGTTGCTGACTCTGTTTTGGAATTTTAATTTGTTGTTCCATGCTGTAATTTGTACAAACTGGGACGTGTTTTTTTCCGAGGATGGGAGACAAAGGATTCTCAGCGCTGCGGCCGATTTTCTGCTTTGCTTCCTTTATTGTAGCGCTGCACTTCGTTAACGGAGACCTGAGTTATTCTATTCCAGAAGAGATGAAACGCCAGTCTGTTATTGGGAATATAGCCAAAGATCTCGGTCTTGATCTGAGGACCTTATCTTCCCGAAAGGCCCGTGTTGATTCTGAGGGGACTCGTAAACGGTACTGTGATATTAATCTGAGTACTGGAGATTTGGTCACATCGGAGAGAATGGACAGAGAAAGCCTTTGTGGCAAGAAACCCTCGTGCGTTGTGAAAGCAGATCTGGTGTTAGAAAACCCCCTGGAGCTTCATCGTGTTAGTCTTCATATTCAAGATGTAAATGACAACTCGCCAACGTTCAAAAAACAATTGATTGAAATGGAAATAGGCGAGTCAGCCGACAAGGGTAACCGGTTTTCAATCGAGAAAGCCCATGACGCAGATGTAGGTCAAAATGCTGTTCAGAGGTACAGTTTGCAAAATAACGACAACTTCATTCTCGCTGTTGACAGTAATAAGGTTGAACTTGTGCTTGAGAATACACTTGATAGAGAAAAGCTAAATGAAATTAATTTGCTCCTCACAGCTTTAGATGGAGGCTCTCCTCAGAGATCAGGTACTGTAGTCATACACGTCACTGTGCTGGATGCTAATGATAACGCCCCAGTGTTTAGCCAGGCCGTCTATAAAGCCAGTCTGCCTGAAAACACTCCTCCAGATACCATAGTGATTAAAGTTAGTGCTACTGACGCAGATGAAGGTTTCAATGGAGATGTAAAGTATGATTTTGGCCACGGATCTAGTGACGACGTAAATGCATTTTCTATTGATCCTAAAACTGGAGAAATTAAAGTTAGTGGTGAAATTGACTTTCAAGAAACGAGTTTGTTTGAAATAAGCGTGGAAGCTAAGGACAGTTTAGGTCTAACCTCGTACGCCACAGTTATAATAGATGTTACTGATATGAATGATAACGCCCCTGTAATATACCTAAAATCCCTGACTAACCCCATACCTGAGAACGTGTCACCTGGTGCAGAGGTGGGCATAATTAACGTGCAGGATAGAGACTCTGAGACTAACGGACAGGTCCGCTGCTCCATTCAAGCAAAACGTCCCTTTTGAGTTGGTTCCTTCTATTAAAAACTATTATTCTCTGGTGACCACAGGACAACTGGACCGTGAACTAGTGTCTGATTACAACATTACAATCACTGCCACTGACGAGGGCTCTCCCCCTCTGTCTTCCTCTAAAACTGTTCAGCTATCTGTAGCAGACATCAACGACAACCCACCTGTGTTTGAGGAGCAGTCCTACAGCGCATATGTGACTGAAAACAACAAACCTGGCTCCACTTTATGTTCCGTTATTGCTCGAGACCCCGACTGGAGACAAAACGGTACCGTGATTTACTCTCTGTTACCCGGTGAGGTGAACGGTGCCCCGGTGTCCTCCTATCTGTCTGTTAACGGAGACACGGGGGTGATCCACGCTGTGAGGTCGTTTGATTATGAACAGTTCAGGAGTTTTAAAGTCCACGTGATGGCCAGAGACAACGGTTCTCCTCCGCTCAGCAGCAACGTGACCGTCAGTGTGTTCATATCGGATGTGAATGACAACTCTCCTCAGATACTGTACCCCGCCCCGGAGGGCAACTCCTTCATGACCGAGCTGGTCCCCAAAGCTGCACACGGAGGCTCTCTGGTGTCCAAAGTGATCGCGGTGGACGCGGACTCCGGACAGAACGCATGGCTGTCCTATCATATAGTCAAATCCACTGATCCGGGACTTTTCACTATTGGTCTCCACAGCGGAGAGATCAGGACACAGCGGGACATTTCTGAGTCTGACAGCATGAAACAGAACCTTGTTGTGTCAGTGAAAGATAACGGACAGCCCTCTCTCTCTGCCACCTGCTCCATGTATTTACTTATCTCTGATAACTTGGCTGAGGTGCCAGAACTGAAGGACATTTCTTACGATGAGAAGAACTCCAAACTGACCTCTTATCTGATCATCGCGCTGGTGTCAGTGTCCACCTTTTTCCTCACCTTCATCATCATCATCATCCTGGGTGTGAGGTTTTGTCGCAGGAGAAAGCCCAGACTGTTGTTTGATGGAGCAGTCGCCATCCCCAGCGCTTATCTCCCTCCTAATTACATAGATGTTGACGGAACAGGAACTTTACGCAGCTCTTACAATTATGACGCCTACCTGACAACAGGTTCCAGAACCAGTGACTTTAAGTTCGTGTCATCATACAATGACAACACACTGCCTGCTGACCAGACTCTGAGGAAAAGCCCTTCAGACTTTGCTGAAGTGTTTGGAGACTGTGATTCTTCTCCTGAGGTAGGAACCTTCCTGTGTCTTTGTCATATTGATGGTTTGTTGCTGACTGTTGAGCAGATCACTTTTACGTTTTGCAAATGTGTGTGCTTCCTTTGGAATTGTTTTGTGGATTTTGAATTTTATTTTTGGGAAAACAGAAGATTTTCCAAAATGATTAATCCTGTAAATTATCCCAGGACATTGTTGTCAATTCCCTGCACGTATTATTAGTTATCACTATGTTTACTGTCCTTGATTAATTAGAAAAACTGCAGTTCTGATCCAGAATGGATGTATGGATGAGGTTCTATAGTCTAAGAACGAGTTAACATTCACGTATTAGACCTCTCTTAATCACATCACAGCAGTCTGAGAACACTTATTATTTTGCTGATGACAAAGTTTAACAAACAGTGCTCTGGTCTATGGGTGACTTTGGTCCGTCCTGGTCTTGTTGCATCTGTCCATGGTGCTGAAACACTCCTCAAGCATATTCACAACTGAAGATGAGGTGCCAGAGCGAAGAGGCTTCCTGGTTTTCCGGCTCGAGGGAGCAGTTGTACATTTTTCCTTACATTATCGAATGTGATAATGCTAAATTAACCATATATAATGATCTGAATTGTTATTTTTAATGGTGTTGCTTAATAACATATTTTAATTAGTAACGATAGATTTCCATAAGAATCTCGTGTATTTATTGAAAAATCCAAATTATTTTCAACCTTTTCAATTCTGAAGCTATTTTTTGTTTTGTTTCCAACACTACTTTTATATGTTTTGCTAGATGGTTATCTGTATGGTATTATAGTTAGGTTTGTTGTTATTTTCTTGACCTTATTTGTTATTTTCTTTAAAACACAGGTCTGCATTTTTACATTAGTTTTATAGGGTATGTTATGTTGCAGTGTCATGCATTTAGGCCTTTTTGTTAGGGCTTAGTAGGATGCTTTATTTGGCAACACTTTATGGTAAGGGTACATTAATCATCATGAATTCATTCATGTAGTACTTCATGAACTATCAGTAATGTACAAGGATTAATAGTATCTCATGCATGACTTAATGCAGGAACAATACCTTAATTAATGCATCAACTCAGGTACCTCACTCATCATGACTTCTGAGTTATTAATGATGTTCATGTCTTCTTCATATAGATCTGCAGTTAAAGTGACAGGCCAAAACACTGACCAGTCACAGCAATTCCAAGTGTTATAGTGACGAAGGTAACTTCGTCACTATGGACTGACGGCTTCGGGCCGGGTAATATTGCACTTTATTAGCGTGATTGCACAGTTTAGTTGACATTACATATTTGCACATAATTTATACTAATTATTGAGGTAGTATTTTTTAACTGATTAAACCGTATTTATTGGAATGTCGTCTGGCAGGTGCTGGTCGGGTCCTCGGCTCCGCCTGAAAAGATAGGGGAGTTTGCGAGAGCGCCGAGAGTAGTTATGCTGGTGTAAGGATGACAGCGGTTGAGAATAATCAGGGTGCAAATAATATGTTGATGTCTGTGGCTGAGGATTGTGTGCACCTGGTGTCCTGTGTTGTCTTCTCCACACTCACCTGTGTCTTGTTAGTATGTGTGTATTTAGGTGCTGTTTCCTTGTAACTGGGTGTGTGTGTAAGATCCTTGTGGCTGCAGGATGTGTGCAAGGAGAACAGCAGGATTGAGGCTGTGAACTTTGTGCACATGATTTTAATAAATGCCCACGTTGGGTTATATTTTTGGACGTTCTGCCTCTGCCTCCTTGCTTGGTCTGGGCCGCTCAACGGTCAGTCTCACAGTTATAATCATGATTAACTAAGCATACTTCTTTTTATGTATCATACAGTATTATCTTAAAGCTCACAAACCATTACAGATAACTCATTCATAATATTAACAAACTTTAATTTATAATCCAAAGCCAACAAGATCACATTTTCACATATCGTGTCACATAAGAAGGCAGTACAACATGTCTGCAAAGACACAAGATTAGGAGGCCTACTTTAGGGAGGACGTGGATTACAATTTAAACACAATAATAAGAAACTAATTGTCATAAAATGAAGTGTGATTAAAACCAGCAGGACCCAGGTTCATACATTAAAAGATTCCACATAGGACAGGCCGCAAGCATTTCAAATTACTTCTCTCTGCAGGTCATTTTGAGGAATCCAGTGAAGGAGGAATACAAAGGATAAAATAATTTAAAATGCAATACATAAAGAAAATATATATTGGTAAACATTTATAAAATAATTATGAACTGTGTCAAAGGTTGAATACCTAAGCAAATGATTCCCTAACAGTCCCTATACATATTGTTTTTATTAACCTCTGTATTTCATGGTAAGTCACATTGAGCCTTGCTGTGTGATCCCATATACTTTCAATTGTTATGTGGTAATCCACGTCCTCCCTAAAGTAGGCCTCCTAATCTTGTGTCTTTGCCGACAGGTCACCACTTTATTTGAAGGGGCACAAACATGATGAAGTATGCTTAGTTAATCATGATTACAACACTTGGAATGGCTGTGACTGGTCAGTTTTTTGGCCTGTCACTTTAACTGCCGATCTATATGAAGAAGACATGAACATCATTAATAACTCAGAAGTCAGGATGAGGGAGGTACCTTAGTTGATGCATTAATTAAGGTATTGTTCCTGCATTAACTCATGTATGAGATACTATTAATCCTTGTACATTACTGATAGTTCATGAAGTACATGAATTAATTCATGCTTTTTCATGCATGAATTCATGATGATTCATACCCTTACCATAAGTGTTACCTGCTACTTCAGGTCAATGTTGCTGTACTGTAAGTGTAGCCTTTAACATGTTCATAATGTAACTGTAATAAGTATTTTCTAAGTCTAAAAATTATTATTTGTTGCAATATTTCATGTGTGCAATATTTAGAGTCTTTTATTTTGAAGTCCAAGCTCACGTCTCGTTATGTTGTTCTCGCGTGAGTTAGAGAGCGAGAGAGAGACAAAAAACTGAGAGGGATACTTGTATAGCTCCGTTAGTTTAAGTTTATTCTTATAAACTTTTAAGGACTGAAGAATACTTCCCTCTGTTTTCAGAGCATGCAGCCAACGATGTATGTTGTTGTTTGTATTTATTTTACGTTTATTATTTTGCTAAACTCATTTTACATGCTTGGCATGTTATTGTGTTTGTAACACGATACTATGTTTGTCATTGATACTGTTTGTTTATGTATAGTTTTCACGGTGGATTCGAAGAGGAATACAGTCGTTATGAGAAAGCCACTTGTGTCTGCGCTTCGAGGGAATTACAGTTGCTTAAGATAGTTATGTACATTTACCTAATTCAAAGATAAAATGCAGGACTCTAAGTTGCAATGCAGTTTTTTAACATCGTGGTATTTGAAACTTGTTATAGTTAAGAACAATATCGAAGTATCCACTGTCCATGGTGCTGCACCTTACATCTCTGATAATCCTGCAAATGGAATTTGGTATCTATTTATTTTGTCTTCACAATAATGTATGGAGTAAAACGAAATGGCTATATTGAATCAGATGCTCTCTCTTTCTGTCTGCATTATATCCATTGAACAGTCATTGTTTTCAACTGATAGTGATAGTGAACATGATAGTCACATGTGTGTGAATAAATTACCTTCACGTGATTTTAGACTATGAAAACTATTTCACAACCTAACATTGTGAAGATATAAAGCGTCTCATGGTGTCGCTGTCGGCTTACAGACCATGAACGCACACCACCCCACCCACAACTACTGAATGGAAATCGGTTGTATTTTTCCAAGACGGTCGGTTAGAAACCTCGAACATATTTGTATGGTCCGCAGTACCCAGTGTTGGATAATTGACTATATTTGGACGTAATTTTAATTATAATCTGGATAATACGCTGGACATTAACACGACGCGACAACTGGTTTTGTGTCAGGATGGGAGACAAAGGATGTTCTGCACTGCGGTCGATCTTCTGCTTTGCTTCCTTTATTGTAGCGCTGCACTTCGTTAACGGAGACCTGAGCTATTCTATTCCAGAAGAGATGAAACGCCAGTCTGTTATTGGAAATATAGCTAAAGATCTCGGTCTTGATCTGAGGACCTTATCTTCCCGAAAGGCCCGTGTTGATTCTGAGGGGACTCGTATACGGAACTGCGATATTAATCTGAGTACTGGAGATTTGGTCACATCGGAGAGAATGGACCGAGAAAGCCTTTGTGGCAAGAAACCCTCGTGTGTTGTGAAAGTAGATCTGGTGTTAGAAAACCCCCTGGAGCTTCATCGTGTTAGTATCCATATTCAAGATGTAAACGACAACTCGCCGAAATTCAAAAAACACTCGATTGAAATGGAGATAGGCGAGTCAGCTGATAAGGGTTACCGCTTCTCTATCGAGAAAGCCCATGACGCAGATATAGGTCAAAATGCTGTTCAGAGATACAGTTTACAAAAAAATGAAAACTTTATTCTCGCTGTTGACAGTAACAAGGTTGAACTCGTACTAGAGAATACACTTGATCGTGAAAAACAACAAGAGATCAATTTGCTCCTCACAGCTTTAGATGGAGGCTCTCCTCAGAGATCAGGGACTGTAGTCATACACGTCACTGTGCTGGATGCTAATGATAACGCCCCAGTGTTTAGCCAGGCCGTCTATAAAGCCAGTCTGGCTGAAAACTCTCCTCCAGATACCATAGTGATTAATGTTAGTGCTACTGACGCAGATGAAGGAGTGAATGGAGATGTGACATATGAATTAGGTCATGTGTCTGACGATGATGTAAATGCATTTTCTATTGATTCTAAAACCGGAGAAATCAGAGTAACTGGTGCGATTGACTTTGAAGATATTAGTACTTTTGAAATGAGCGTGGAGGCTAAGGACAGTTTAGGGTTATCTTCTTACGCTAAAGTTATAATAGACGTTACTGATATGAATGATAATGCTCCTGTAATATACCTGAAATCCCTGACTAACCCCATACCTGAGAACGTGTCACCTGGTGCAGAGGTGGGCATCATTAACGTGCAGGATAGAGACTCTGAGACTAACGGACGGGTCCGCTGCTCCATTCAACAAAACGTCCCTTTTAAGTTGGTTCCTTCTATTAAAAACTATTATTCTCTGGTGTCCACAGGACAACTGGACCGTGAACTAGTGTCTGATTACAACATTACAATCACTGCCACTGACGAGGGCTCTCCCCCTCTGTCCTCCTCTAAAACTGTTCAGTTATCTGTAGCAGACATCAACGACAACCCACCTGTGTTTGAGGAGCAGTCCTACAGCGCATATGTGACTGAAAACAACAAACCTGGCTCCACTTTATGTTCCGTTACTGCTCGAGACCCCGACTGGAGACAAAACGGGACCGTGATTTACTCTCTGTTACCCGGTGAGGTGAACGGTGCCCCGGTGTCCTCCTATCTGTCTGTTAACGGAGACACGGGGGTGATCCACGCTGTGAGGACGTTTGATTATGAACAGTTCAGGAGTTTTAAAGTGCACGTGATGGCCAGAGACAACGGTTCTCCTCCGCTCAGCAGCAACGTGACCGTCAGTGTGTTCATATCGGATGTGAATGACAACTCTCCTCAGATACTGTACCCCGCCCCGGAGGGCAACTCCTTCATGACCGAGCTGGTCCCCAAAGCTGCACACGGAGGCTCTCTGGTGTCCAAAGTGATCGCGGTGGACGCGGACTCCGGACAGAACGCCTGGCTGTCCTATCATATAGTCAAATCCACTGATCCGGGACTTTTCACTATTGGTCTCCACAGCGGAGAGATCAGGACACAGCGGGACATTTCTGAGTCTGACAGCATGAAACAGAACCTTGTTGTGTCAGTGAAAGATAACGGACAGCCCTCTCTCTCTGCCACCTGCTCCATATATTTACTTATCTCTGATAACTTGGCTGAGGTGCCAGAGCTGAAGGATATTTCTTACGATGAGAAGAACTCCAAACTGACCTCTTATCTGATCATCGCGCTGGTGTCAGTGTCCACCTTTTTCCTCACCTTCATCATCATCATCCTGGGTGTGAGGTTTTGTCGCAGGAGAAAGCCCAGACTGTTGTTTGATGGAGCAGTCGCCATCCCCAGCGCTTATCTCCCTCCTAATTACGCAGATGTTGACGGAACAGGAACTTTACGCAGCGCTTACAATTATGACGCCTACCTGACAACAGGTTCCAGAACCAGTGACTTTAAGTTCGTGTCATCTTACAATGACAACACACTGCCTGCTGACCAGACTCTGAGGAAAAGCCCTTCAGACTTTGCTGAAGTGTTTGGAGACTGTGATTCTTCTCCTGAGGTAGGAACCTTCCTGTGTCTTTGTCATATTGATGGTTTGTTGCTGACTGTTGAGCAGATCACTTTTACGTTTTGCAAATGTGTGTGCTTCCTTTGGAATTGTTTTGTGGATTTTGAATTTTATTTTTGGGAAAACAGAAGATTTTCCAAAATGATTAATCGTGTAAATTATCCCAGGACATTGTTGTCAATTCCCTGCATGTATTATTAGTTATCACTATGTTTACTGTCCTTGATTAATTAGAAAAACTGCAGTTCGGATCCAGAATGGATGTATGGATGAAGTTCTATAGTCTAAGAACGAGTTAACATTCACGTATTAGACCTCTCTTAATTACATCACAGCAGTCTGAGAACACTTATTCTTTTGCTGATGACAAAGTTTAACAAACAGTGCTCTGGTCTATGGGTGACTTTGGTCCGTCCTGGTCTTGTTGCATCTGTCCATGGTGCTGAAACACTCCTCAAGCATATTCACAACTGAAGATGAGGTGCCAGAGCGAAGAGGCTGCCTGGTTTTCCGGCTCGAGGGAGCAGTTGTAAATTTTTCCTTACACTATCAAATGTGATAATGCTAAATTAACCATATATAATGATCTGAATTGTTATTTTTAATGGTGTTGCTTAATAACATATTTTAATTAGTAACGATAGATTTCCATAAGAATCTCGTGTATTTATTGAAAAATCCAAATTATTTTCAACCTTTTAAATTCTGAAGCTATTTTTTGTTTTGTTTCCAACACTACTTTTATATGTTTTGCTAGATGGTTATCTGTATGGTATTATAGTTAGGTTTGTTGTTATTTTCTTGACCTTATTTGTTATTTTCTTTAAAACACAGGTCTGCATTTTTACATTAGTTTTATAGGGTATGTTATGTTGCAGTGTCATGCATTTAGGCCTTTTTGTTAGGGCTTAGTAGGATACTTTATTTGGCAACACTTTATGGTAAGGGTACATTAATCATCATGAATTCATTCATGTAGTACTTCATGAACTATCAGTAATGTACAAGGATTAATAGTATCTCATGCATGACTTAATGCAGGAACAATACCTTAATTAATGCATCAACTAAGGTACCTCACTCATCATGACTTCTGAGTTATTAATGATGTTCATGTCTTCTTCATATAGATCTGCAGTTAAAGTGACAGGCCAAAACACTGACCAGTCACAGCAATTCCAAGTGTTATTGTGACGAAGGTAACTTCGTCACTATGGACTGACGGCTTCGGGCCGGGTAATATTGCACTTTATTAGCGTGATTGCACAGTTTAGTTGACATTACATATTTGCACATAATTTATACTAATTATTGAGGTAGTATTTTTTAACTGATTAAACCGTATTTATTGGAATGTCGTCTGGCAGGTGCTGGTCGGGTCCTCGGCTCCGCCTGAAAAGATAGGGGAGTTTGCGAGAGCGCCGAGAGTAGTTATGCTGGTGTAAGGATGACAGCGGTTGAGAGTAATCAGGGTGCAAATAATATGTTGATGTCTGTGGCTGATGATTGTGTGCACCTGGTGTCCTGTGTTGTCTTCTCCACACTCACCTGTGTCTTGTTAGTATGTGTGTATTTAGGTGCTGTTTCCTTGTAACTGGGTGTGTGTGTAAGATCCTTGTGGCTGCAGGATGTGTGCAAGGAGAACAGCAGGATTGAGGCTGTGAACTTTGTGCACATGATTTTAATAAATGCCCACGTCGGGTTATATTTTTGGACGTTCTGCCTCTGCCTCCTTGCTTGGTCTGGGCCGCTCAACGGTCAGTCTCACAGTTATAATCATGATTAACTAAGCATACTTCTTTTTATGTATCATACAGTATTATCTTAAAGCTCACAAACCATTACAGATAACTCATTCATAATATTAACAAACTTTAATTTATAATCCAAAGCCAACAAGATCACATTTTCACATATCGTGTCACATAAGAAGGCAGTACAACATGTCTGCAAAGACACAAGATTAGGAGGCCTACTTTAGGGAGGACGTGGATTATCACATAACAATTTAAACACAATAATAAGAAACTAATTGTCATAAAATGAAGTGTGATTAAAACCAGCAGGACTCAGGTTCATACATTAAAAGATTCCACATAGGACAGGCCGCAAGCATTTAAAATTACTTCTCTCTGCAGGTCATTTTGAGGAATCCAGTGAAGGAGGAATACAAAGGATAAAATAATTTAAAATGCAATACATAAAATATATATTGGTAAACATTTATAAAATAATTATGAACAGTGTCAAAGGTTGAATACCTAAGCAAATGATTCCCTAACAGTCCCTATACATATTGTTTTTATTAACCTCTGTATTTCATGGTAAATCACATTGAGCCTTGCTGTGTGATCCCATATACTTTCAATTGTTATGTGGTAATCCACGTCCTCCCTAAAGTAGGCCTCCTAATCTTGTGTCTTTGCCGACAGGTCACCACTTTATTTGAAGGGGCACAAACATGATGAAGTATGCTTAGTTAATCATGATTACAACACTTGGAATTGCTGTGACTGGTCAGTTTTTTGGCCTGTCACTTTAACTGCCGATCTATATGAAGAAGACATGAACATCATTAATAACTCAGAAGTCAGGATGAGGGAGGTACCTTAGTTGATTTATTAAATAAGGTATTGTTCCTGCATTAACTCATGCATGAGATACTATTAATCCTTGTACATTACTGATAGTTCATGAAGTACATGAATTAATTCATGCTTTTTCATGCATGAATTCATGATGATTCATACCCTTACCATAAGTGTTACCTGCTACTTCAGGTCAATGTTGCTGTACTGTAAGTGTAGCCTTTAACATGTTCATAATGTAACTGTAATAAGTATTTTCTAAGTCTAAAAATTATTATTTGTTGCAATATTTCATGTGTGCAATATTTAGAGTCTTTTATTTTGAAGTCCAAGCTCACGTCTCGTTATGTTGTTCTCGCGTGAGTTAGAGAGCGAGAGAGAGACAAAAAACTGAGACGGATACTTTTATAGCTCCGTTAGTTTAAGTTTATTCTTATAAACTTTTAAGGACTGAAGAATACTTCCCTCTGTTTTCAGAGCATGCAGCCAACGATGTATTTTGTTGTTTGTATTTATTTTACGTTTATTATTTTTGCTAAACTCATTTTACATGCTTGGCATGTTATTGTGTTTGTAACACGATACTATGTTTGTCATTGATACTGTTTGTTTATGTGTAGTTTTCACGGTGGATTCGAAGAGGAATACAGTCGTTATGAGAAAGCCACTTGTGTCTGCGCTTCGAGGGAATTACAGTTGCTTAAGATAGTTATGTACATTTACCTAATTCAAAGATAAAATGCAGGACTCTAAGTTACAATGCAGTTTTTTAACATCGTGGTATTTGAAACTTGTTATAGTTAAGACAAATATCGAAGTATCCACTGTCCATGGTGCTGCACCTTACATCTCTGATAATCCTGCAAATGGAATTTGGTATCTATTTATTTTGTCTTCACAATAATGTATGGAGTAAAACGAAATGGCTATATTGAATCAGATGCTCTCTCTTTCTGTCTGCATTATATCCATTGAAAAGTCATTGTTTTCAACTGATAGTCACATTATGTGTGTGAATAAATTACCTTCACGTGATTTTAGACTATGAAAACTATTTCACAACCTAACATCGTGAAGATATAAAGCGACTCATGGTGTCGCTGTCGGCTTACAGACCATGAACGCACCCCACCCACAACTACTGAATGGACATCGGTTGTATTTTTCCAAGACGGTCGGTTAGAAACCTCGAACATATTTGTATGGTCCGCAGTACCCAGTGTTGGGTAATTGACTATATTTGGACGTAATTTTAATTATAATCTGGATAATACGCTGGACATTAACACGACGCGACAACTGGTTTTGTGTCAGGATGGGAGACAAAGGATGTTCTGCACTGTGGTCGATCTTCTGCTTTGCTTCCTTTATTGTAGCGCTGCACTTCGTTAACGGAGACCTGAGTTATTCTATTCAAGAAGAGATGAAACGCGAATCTGTTATTGGAAATATAGCCAAAGATCTCGGTCTTGATCTGAGGACCTTAACTTCCCGAAAGGCCCGTGTTGATTCTGAGGGGACTCGTATACGGAACTGCGATATTAATCTGAGTACTGGAGATTTGGTCACATCGGAGAGAATGGACCGAGAAAGCCTTTGTGGCAAGAAACCCTCGTGTGTTGTGAAAGTAGATCTGGTGTTAGAAAACCCCCTGGAGCTTCATCGTGTTAGTATCCATATTCAAGATGTAAATGACAACACGCCAAAATTCAAAAAGCCATTGATTGAAAAAGAAATAAGGGAGTCCGCCGGCAAGGGTGATCGCTTCTCTATCGAGGAGGCCCATGACGCAGATGTAGGTCAACATGCTGTTCAGAGATACAGTTTAGAGAAAAACGACTACTTTATTCTCGCTGTTGACAGTTATAAGGTTGAACTTGTGCTTGAGAATACACTTGATAGAGAAAAGCAAAGTGAAATTAATTTGCTCCTCACAGCTTTAGATGGAGGCTCTCCTCAGAGATCAGGTACTGTAGTCATACACGTCACTGTGCTGGATGCTAATGATAACGCCCCAGTGTTTAGCCAGGCCGTCTATAAAGCCAGTCTGCCTGAAAACACTCCTCCAGATACCATAGTGATTACAGTTAGTGCTACTGACGCAGATGAAGGAGTGAATGGAGATGTGAAATATGACTTAAGGCATGTGTCTGACGATGATGAAAATATATTTTCTATCGATGCTAAAACTGGAGAAATTAGAGTTACTGGTGCGATTGACTTTGAGGAAATTACTTATTTTGAAATGAGAGTGGAAGCTGAAGATGGTTTAGGACTAACCTCTTACGCCAAAGTTATAATAGATGTTACTGATATGAATGATAATGCCCCTGTAATATACCTCAAATCCCTGACTAACCCCATACCTGAGAACGTGTCACCTGGTGCAGAGGTGGGCATCATTAACGTGCAGGATAGAGACTCTGAGAATAACAGACAGGTCCGCTGCTCCATTCAGCAAAACGTCCCTTTTAAGTTGGTTCCTTCTATTAAAAACTATTATTCTCTGGTGACCACAGGACAACTGGACCGTGAACTAGTGTCTGATTACAACATTACAATCACTGCCACTGACGAGGGCTCTCCCCCTCTGTCCTCCTCTAAAACTGTTCAGCTATCTGTAGCAGACATCAACGACAACCCACCTGTGTTTGAGGAGCAGTCCTACAGCGCACATGTGACTGAAAACAACAAACCTGGCTCCACTTTATGTTCCGTTACTGCTCGAGACCCCGACTGGAGACAAACGGTACCGTGATTTATTCTCTGTTACCCGGTGAGGTGAACGGTGCCCCGGTGTCCTCCTATCTGTCTGTTAACGGAGACACGGGGGTGATCCACGCTGTGAGGACGTTTGATTATGAACAGTTCAGGAGTTTTAAAGTGCACGTGATGGCCAGAGACAACGGTTCTCCTCCACTCAGCAGCAACGTGACCGTCAGTGTGTTCATATCGGATGTTAATGACAACTCTCCTCAGATACTGTACCCCGCCCCGGAGGGCAACTCCTTCATGACCGAGCTGGTCCCCAAAGCTGCACACGGAGGCTCTCTGGTGTCCAAAGTGATCGCAGTGGACGCGGACTCCGGACAGAACGCCTGGCTGTCCTATCATATAGTAAAATCCACTGATCCGGGACTTTTCACTATTGGTCTCCACAGCGGAGAGATCAGGACACAGCGGGACATTTCTGAGTCTGACAGCATGAAACAGAACCTTGTTGTGTCAGTGAAAGATAACGGACAGCCCTCTCTCTCTGCCACCTGCTCCATGTATTTACTTATCTCTGATAACTTGGCTGAGGTGCCAGAACTGAAGGACATTTCTTATGATGAGAAGAACTCCAAACTGACCTCTTATCTGATCATCGCGCTGGTGTCAGTGTCCACCTTTTTCCTCACCTTCATCATCATCATCCTGGGTGTGAGGTTTTGTCGCAGGAGAAAGCCCAGACTGTTGTTTGATGGAGCAGTCGCCATCCCCAGCGCTTATCTCCCTCCTAATTACGCAGATGTTGACGGAACAGGAACTTTACGCAGCGCTTACAATTATGACGCCT